GTCTGTGACTGGTGATAGTGAGTGGCAAATGATGGTGGGATTCCAATAGCGGTGCATAACATCGAGAGGCTGCCGACAATGGTGGTCGGCGATGGTGGGTTGCCCACGAAAGGGGGTGGCTGATACGGGTTTGCTGATTGATGGAAAAGAATTCCAAGAAATGATATGACTTTGGGGCATGATCGAATTATTAAGAATTGCAATGACTATATAGAGCTTGAGAATACAGAACTTATGATATTGAATTGACTAGGATTAGCTAGGTGGTTCTAATGGTTTCTCCCCCTATTTATAGTAATTACACGATACACTTACTGTAAGCGATAAACAAGGTAAGCAGATCATGATTGATTCTCTCGAGCCACGTAAGTCGTAACCTAATCCCGCCCTAACCGCTAATTCAACGTACCCACATGCGATGGTGCTTTGAGTCCATTCGGAATTAACCCAGCCCAATTGTGATGGGCAACCACTCGGCGCACCAGATCATCTGAGGGCAAAAGGGGATAGAGTCATATTATAGAGATATCTTTGGCCTGGGCTTCTGAGTTAGCCTAATAGCCCATCACATGCCCCCACTCCACATGCCTTGAATGGGCCATTCGAGGGATGATGAGTCTTCCATTGTCCGACCTAACACGTGCCCTTCGCGCGCATGTTCTTCGTGGGTAACTGCCCAAGAGCCGTCTTATCTCCTCGATCGAGTGGTTAGGCACGATCTTCACCAATTCCATCATTACTTGTCATTTTTCCCTATCTTTTGTCTACGATAAATCCACCATGCCGCCGCTCAACGTCTCTTTACCTCCTCCTGTCATCCTTTAATCAAAAATCTGCTCTCTGGTTTGATCTCCTCTATATTTCCAGGTTAGATTTTCTTTTCCTGAACGATATGTCTTCTGATCTAGGTTTATTGGCACCCCTCATTGATTTCACCCCTCAAGGGGTGAATGAACCGTCGTATCCTGGACAAATTTTTGATTCAAACGCGTCACTAGAGCCCGCTTCATCGTCGGTCGTGGCTCCTCTTCAAGAGATTACCCTGGCAACCACTAAGAGCGTTGGTTGCAAAAGCGATACGACTCCCCTGACTCTGGTTTGTCCACCCCCCCCCCCCCAAGTTGATCTAGAGGGGAATATAATGGTATTGTGCCATTGTCAGATGTTAGATCAAGACTTTGCAGACGCTACAGATATGGTGGGACCTATGATTCAAGTCCTTAGGCCGAGCAAAATAGCTACGCTCTGGACTCCCCAAAAGGGTTCTTCACTTTCCACCATCACGACCTCGTGCTATGTCAACTGGTCCCCAACTCCTATAGATACATGGTATCGCTCGACGGGAGTTATCCCCTCCCTTGAACAATTCATCTTCCTATTCAAGTTGACGAAGGGAACGGGGGAATGGGCTTCATACGCCTCCTTGTCCCAAAGATCTAGTAAGCTCTTTACGAGCAAAAAGAAGGGTTCAAATCATGAATAGAAGCCCTTCTTCGTCTTCGTTTCCATCGGGTTGGATTCCTCCTTTTTGGCTTTCAAGCGCCCATCTTTTCGTCGGATACCAGCGCCGGTCCCAATAGCCAAACTGTTATATGATACCAAAAAAACTCTGCTAGGGGTGGCCCATTTGAGGTCGAGAAGCTGGTGACCAAGGAGTCCATGGAAAACTTTGAGTTCGAGTTCGTCTTTGACAAACATCGACATCAGTCAGAACCTGTGAGGGACATTCTTGCGAGAAACCTCCACTTCGGCCCCTTTGGTGAGTTTTCCTAGCTTATCCATTTTCTGATGTTGCTCCCATACTCTGTGATTTTCGGCATTATCCCGTAATTATTGTATGAATGCTATACCCTAACCCAACCCGACTTTTAAAACTAAAACTTGAACCTAACCCAAATCGACACTTAAATCCGAAACCCAAACCCGAATTTGAACCTGTAATCAATCAATAATCAATTCGATGTATCCCAAGAATTTTAAATAAAATAAATCTAATTTTTTGTGTCTCCTTTTTTGTCTCATTTTATATTGAGGAATTATAAAAAGAATTATAAAAGACATATTTGATATAATAGCACCTTGTTCAGAGATTATACGGAGTGCTCATTATATCTGTAGATAGGCTTTTAGGTTATAAAATATTCGGGCGATCGTGAACAATATCCGCGGAAATTTAATTTCTAGGTTTCATGATATTATTTAGTGAGGGAAAACAATCAAAGAAAATCAAAAATCACAAAATCCCGCCGGTAGGTCTCAAAGAAAATAAAAAATCACAAAAGCCCACCGACAGGGGAAAAAGCGTGTTGAGGTCTCAAGATTTCAAAACTTGCTCTGATACCATGAAGAAAATAAGAGAAAATATTTCTATATATTGAATTGGCTTGTTAATACAAAGATCTAACTCTCTTTATATAGAAAGAGGGTAAGGCAAACAAGAAAATTTTTATTCCTACTAAAAGAAGAATTAAACAAACTAGGAAAGGTACAAAACCTAATTCCAAAGGGATTCAATTTCCTTCTTCAATCCCGCTTCCTTCTTCTGTCTCTAACATATGTTATAATCAGTTTGGTTCGGATCCCGTTGGTTTAATTTTGTTTCAGATTTGATTCGGTTCTATAAATTTTTCAGTTTTAGTTTGGTTTCAAGTCGGTTCAAATACGGTCCAGAAATAAATCGGTTCAGATAGATTTTTGTTTGAATATAATTTGGATCGAATATGTTTTGGTTTCAGATATAGTTTGGTTCAGATATATTTTGCTTTCGGATATGTTTCTATTCGGTTATATTTCGATCAAATATAATTTGGATATGTATTATTTACTAATTAAAATTTAATTATCAAAATTTCTTTTGTTTTTGTTTTATCACATTTATCAATATATCTTTATGTTTATAAATGCAAAGATAAAAAATAAAGGGAGAAAGACCAAAGTAGGACTAAAACATTGAAAATATACCAAAATAGGACTTTCATTTTTATTTCTGAAATAGGAGTTATATTACCAAACATGGTCATGTACATTACCAAAAAAGTATAGTAATGTGCACATGTACAGTACCACATTACCACAGTGCAAAGTCCTATTTCAGGAAAAAAACATGAAAGTCCTATTTTGGTACTTTTTTCTCTATATTTTAGTCATATTTAAAGTGATTTCTAAAAAATAAATTCGGACATAATTTCTTTCAATTGATAATTTACCTTGTTTATCAAATATTTTATTACATTTAATTTTTTTAATAACATAATAGTTGCCTCATTGTATTCATCATCTCATATTTTATATGTATAACTTTTGTTCAATTCCCAAATATAATAAATTTAAGGCATGAGATTTAGTAATTTTTTTTAAAAATGATAATTCATTTTATGAGGAAATGAGCAAGTAATGAAACTAGTTCAAATGGTAAAATCAAAAGAAAAATTTAAAAATATATATGCTTATTGAAAAGCAAACACAACTTTGGATTTTATGGGTTCCGGATATTATCGGTTTTGGATCTAATTGGTTTTTTGTTTTACCGGTTTCGGATCGAATCGGTTTCGGATTTATTCGATTCAGATATAATCAGTTTCAGATCTAATCGGTTTCAGATTTAAATCGGATATAAATTATTTAGTTCGGTTTACATTCGGTTCGGATCATTTCGTATTTTCGGTTATAGATCGGATCTTCATTTTTCAGATAATTTCAGTTTCGGTTTCAAGTAATTCGGTTCGGATAATCAATTCCGGTTCTGTTTTGCCAAGTCTACCTCCAAAGAAGAGAAGAAAAACTCGGAATTGGTCACTAACATGATTACATTACATATCAAAACATGTCGCAAATACATTGTATACCTGAATATTTTTTTCCCCAAGGGGCAACAATTCAAGCTGAAAATGGAGGCCAGCTTCCGGGTTCAACTTCAGAGTAAAAAATCAGGCGATTGAAGGTGTTAGATCAGATTCCACCTTCTCCTGCCACGGTGATTTGAAGGCTGTCTGTGAGAAGAAAATACTTCAAGGACACTTGACTTTCTCCTGGGCTCTGTCAATGGGTTGCCCAACCACAACAAAAGGGCAATGCCGACAACACTTATAACAGGTGCCGCAGCAGCAGCAGCAGCAGCTATAGAATACCATCTCCCCTGAGGTCCTCCCGAGCGAGAACCACCCGTACTGATTGCTTCAGAAGCAGCATTAACCACATCTGAGGAACCATCGCCATTCATGTCACTCTGCTGAATTTCACGGTTCCTATGTTTCTTGTCCTCGTATTCTTGATCGTCAGTTGGAAGCTCATATCTGCAGAGGGGACAGGTGTTCCTGGAGCTTAACCATGGAATGATACAAGAAGGGTGATAGAGATGAGAACAAGGCAGTTGGTTCACAATAGTCTCCACAAACAGTGAGTCCTTGCATATTGCACAAACCATGCCATCAAGCTGCTCATGATTCTTGATAACCACGCGCGGCAGGCTGTTTAAAGCGGATGCTGCCGCAGGTGGTGCTCCCCTTCTGAAACCATCGGCGTCAGAGAGATGGTCGACCAATTCGTCAAACTCATGCCCATCCACAATATCCTCAGATTCTGCAGAGAGAATGTTGTTTAGTCTGCTCCAAGTGCTCTCAGTCAAACTCAATGACCTTTGCCGAGATCTACCACCAAATATGGTTTCCTCACTGCCAGCCTCTTCCCATCTGCTGGCATCCTCTTCTTGATCATCTGAGTTCCAATGATACATACCGGCATGCATGGGGTCAATGTCTGTATCAGTTTGGACATCACTTCCTTCATATGCAGAATTTTCAATGCCAAGTAAGCTACTGCCGTCATCAGAAGCATTAGAGCTCCATCCATAGGAAATACTTTCATTTTCGCCATCCACGACCCTGTAGTGGCCACCAAATCTCAGATTTGATTCGCTCTCGGCAATGCCAGGTCCAATTCCATCACTTTCAGTATCAGAGAGCACCCTCCTCAACCTCCTAGATCCACTGGGAGTTGGGCTAGAGCTTGTACATTGCAATGATCTGGAGCCACCATCTGCATCAACAGAATGATCATCGTGCTCCAACATATTGTCCTGGTGTTCCCTTGCGAAGTTAAACACATATGAGACCTGTTGTGGAAAAAGATTCTCAATGGACTCGGCACTGCTATTATACCTTGTTCTCCTAAACCCAGATGATCTCCACTGATACACGTCTCTCATGGGGGAATCAAGGTCTTCTAGGACCAAGAAATTGCAATCACTACACATATTTACTGCTTCAAAGTCAGTGGTGTCATTGTCAGATGTCAAGATTTTTAGACATAACGAACAGGAAGAAGAAGAAAGACCAGGAGTATCTTCTGAGTTGGAATCCATCTGGAACATATATAGACATGCAAATGGCATCAAAACCAATGTAATAAATAAATGCAACACATGTTTCTAAAAACCATACTTGTTGGCAATTCATATATTGATTAATTCAGATGCATACAGCAAATACTGAATTAAGGATATTCATGACACACACGTCTCATCATGTCTCATAAGGATATGGAAAAGTAGTGATTTAAGGATTTTGACGTGAATGAAGAACCAAATTTCAGATATTTGATAGCAGAGAAGTTGTGACGGTTTGATATCGAAAAATCTTTTCTCAACTTCTCTTTTTAAAACATTTTCATTCGTTATAATTATAACTTGCTACATAGCCAGCGTATGCCCTTGCTTAAATACATAGCCACTAAAATAGCTGAAGGAAAAGTGGCAAAGGTATCATAAGGGAAGAAACAGCTACAAAAAATGAATTTCCACACACACACACACACACATATATATATATAAACACACACACACACACACATATATATATACATATATATATATATACATACATATATACATACATACATATATATATATATGTATACATATATATAGGGATTGCCAGTCAGATGACACTTTCGGTCAGATGACAGCGTATGGTTCATTCTGGATCAACGTAGTGCTCATTGTAACCCAACGTAGGGTTCATTCTCACACAACTATTCATCACAATGTACTCTTAATGGTTCAGACCTCTTACTGGTTCAGCACTTAATGGTTCAGACCTCTTACTGATTCAGCACTTACCTATTCAGAAGTTGCCAAACAGCCACATAGTGTTCATTCCAAGTGAGGCAATTAACAACATAGGGTTCATTTTCAATAACATGATGTTGATTCTCAAACAACGTAGGATTCATTCTCACAAATTTGCTCATTATAGACTTAGTACTCATTCTAAAATAACATAGTACTCATTCCCAGTTTGCTTAGCAAAGTGTTCATTCTGAAACAACATAGTGCTCATTCTCAAACAAGCTAGTGCTCATTCTGAAGCATGTCATCTGACTGAAAGTGTCATCTGACCGAAACATGTCATGTGACTAGAGTCAAACCCATATATATATATATATATCTGTGTGTGTGTCTCATAAGGATAGGGAAAAATAGTGAATTAAAGATGTTGACGCGAATGAAGAACCAAATGTCAGATATTTCATAGCAGAGTTGTGACCGTTTGACATCTAAAAATCTTCTCTCCTCTTTTTAAAACATTTTCATTCATTACAAGTATAACTTGCTAAATAGCCAGCGTATGCCCTTGCTTAAATTCATAGCCATTCACATAGCTGAAGGAAATGTACAAAGGTATCAGAAGGAAAGAAACAGCTACAAAAACTGAATTTCCACACATATGTGGAGATGAAGTAATAAAAATGATACAGATCAGCCTATCTTTGGTTATCATTGACACTAAAGTTAAATGCTTAATGGATATATAAATAGGATATCATCATGGTCAGTGTTTACATTGTTCGGGTCTATGATCTGGGTACAATTACACTGACCAACCCAAGTTCTAAGCAGTAATGGATCTGGCAAACCCAAAAGGCCAGGATGACTTCACAATGTTGTCATCATCCAGGGTAAGCACTATAGTTGAAGGATTAGAGACTAGAGGAGCACGTGTGGTGGGATGGTGTCGCCAGAAGTAAGGTGTGTGTAGGGTATGAAAGAAGCACATTGATGTAAGAAAGTAAGCTCAGATCAATGATGAATCCCTTTCCCACTATATAGACAGCCTATATGCCTAAAAATAGTACTGCCTACTTCATTAAACTTTTGTATTGTAGAGCAGTCTAGCTCCTTTCCTGCAGCTTATACGAATGAACAAAGAACTTCTCAATCATTACCTCTCCTAGACCTAATGACTAACCTTGTTCTGTTCTTTCTGTTTATATTTTCACATACACCTTTGATTTCTTGACAAAAGGGTCATATTTAGTGGGTTAGGCCACCTCAATCTTCACATAAAAAGCATTCTACTATTTATGTGTTTCTTTATCTTTTGTTTGCTCATAATTTGTATTTTGTGACTTGCTAGTAAAAGAGAACTAATCTCCTTAATACGTACTTCTTAACTCACTCACAAGTTAGATTATTGTGCCCCCTCTTACATAGCCCACTTTGAAGGGGTTTAAGAAAACGAAAGTTGTGTGGCTGTACATGACTCATGTTTCTTTCACTAACCCTAAGTTTGATTCAAGGAAATTAGGAAGGAAAGAAAAAGAAAACATTCTCTTCTTTTCCTTACCAGAATTGAAAGAATTTGATTTTCCATCTTCTTACTTATTATGCCTTGTAATATTTTTTTCCTTCCATTTTTCTTTTCTTTTCTCAATAACCAAACAAGAAACTTTGTTTTCCACGCCATTTTCTCTTTCAAATTCCTTGAACCAAACAGTGTAAAAGGAAATGAGCAATAGTTTAAGGAGGGATAAAAAGGGAAATGGTAGGCACAAAGGGAGTAATACATATCACTAGCAAGTTACAATTACCCTCTCAATAATTATGATATAACAACATCAACACCAAGAATCAGACATTAATCTCAATATACAAGTCTTATAGTTTATACTCCGAATAACTGAAGTCTACTACAGATGACTACAATAGACAATCTCCCAATGTGATTATCAATGTCTTCATTCTCCATTCTTTTCAATCATGCACTATGTCCTCAAGGAACAAAAGCAATAACTTTACAAAAGAAAGTTTAAAAAAACTATTTTTCCAAAGTAAAAGCAATTAAACTTTAGTTCTAATGAATTTAAGAATTGAACACAAAAGTAACAGTAATTATAAAGACCTTGAGCAATAATTTCACCTGGTAATCAAGAGCGCAGCTGATCTTCGTGACTTCGTCAGAGAATACTTAGGCGTGAACGAATCTGGAATGGATATCCAGAATTACAATGGAAAGGGAAACTATAAAAAAACAGAATGCATTATCCATAAATAAGAAATCTATAATTCCGATGAACAAATGCATCATATTCCGACTTTATGGAAAATTTCGTAAAATGTTGCTAAACAGAAAATCCAGGCCAGGAATTGTTGTTTTCAAAATTACGGAGTAATTTTGATCATTTTAGGAAGGTAAGTTCTGACTTCAGCAGACCCCCCACATCCGAGCAATAAGGAAGTAGAGATAAGCGTTAGCGTTTTGGATAAAATTTTAACGGTGCAGATTACTTTGAAAACGTTAACGCTAAACGCTGCCCGTAGATAGCCTTTTCAAAACGTTCAACGCTAATAGCTAACGCTGTTCCCAAACAGGCTCATAGCCTACTTAGGGGCTGTTTGGCAACTTCTGAATAGGTAAGTGCTGAACCAGTAAGAGGTCTGAACCATTAAGTGCTGAACCAGTAAGAGGTCTGAACCATTAAGAGTTAGTATATTGCTTAACTATTTAGAGGCAAATGTCTGATCAATTCAGATAAGAGGTCTTAACCATTCAGACTCTGTATAATACTTAACCATTCAGAGGCAAATCTCTTAACCATCCAGACATCTGAACCATTAAGAGGCTGAAACAAACAGTCTGAACCATTAAGTGCTGAACCATTCAGACATCTGAACCATTAAGAGGCTGAAACAAACAGTCTGAACCATTAAGTGCTGAACCATTCAGACATCTGAACCATTAAGAGGCTGAAACAAACAGTCTGAACCATTAAGTGCTGAACCATTCAGACATCTGAACCATTAAGAGGCTGAAACAAACAGCCCCTTACTTTGTATGTTCAAAACAAAGTGCAGATGTTTTAGAAGAGAGCAATGCTAGGGGTACACCGTACCCAAAAGGTGTACTCCATTTATCCTCACTCCTTTCTCCACTACTCATTTTTATCCTAATTTTATTTATTTAATTTCTTTTCATCTCTTGCCCATTTTTGTGGCAATGGAAGGGGTGGGGGACAAATGGGGTACACCTTGGTGTACCCCTAGCATTTTTCTTTAGAAGAACCTGAAAAAATTAAAACAAAATAAAAAAGAATGAGAGAAAATTGAAAGGTGTTAAAAATTGAGTACTTTTTTTTAAAATGATAGTGGATATTCGAGTTTTTGGAAGATAGATATGATATCTCTAATTTATCTTCTCCCTATTTTTCTTAGATTCAAATTATACGAAATACTTTTTCATCTTTTAGTGTTATTAACTTGATTGTAGTGTAATATGAAATATACGTTTATATTTTCATAATGACAATTGACAAAGAGAGTCAATGTTGCTACCTCTATTGGGACTCATATCCTTACCCATCATTCTTAAAGAGTGACTTCTTACCACTTAAGTCAAGGAGGAATAGGGCGAGCCCATGGGAGATGCGCTACCCGATCGGACCGAGTCCAAGTTTTATATGACCCAAATATTTTTAATGTTATATATATCTTTATATAGATAGATATTTTTTTGAGGACTATATGTATAGTTATTAAGAAGCCCCAATTGTTGGATTTGCCGCTTGCGTGAGTTGCGTCGATTCAGCTCCCTAATCTCTGCCTGTGTCTTCTATCATCCAGTGAAACTACCGACCATCGAGCGTCGACTTCTCTTAAAAGTTCATTTTCCAGTCTTCCAAGGAGGAAAGACTCCAACGGGCGCACGTAATTTTTTATATTCTTTACTCTTTAGTCTTATTATTATTATTGTTATTAATATTAATATTATTATTATTCTTATTATTGTTGCTATTATTATTAGAGTAAACTAGTAAGGTCTTTATTCTTTATTCTTGGAGTATATATTCTTTCTTTTTTTCGAATTTGATGCAGTATCTTCTATTAGTTGAGAAAATCAAACACACTATATTTTCAAGATTTAGATTATAAGAGTGAGGTTTTAATATATTAAATCTATGGTTAATTGTTATTTGTTATTTTTTTTTACTTAATAATCTTTGTTATGAATGGATTTTTAATTTAATGTGTTCTTCATTCGATATGCAAGTATAATTATTTTAGATTTGTTGTTATACTATTTCAAATTTAGCTCTAATTTAAATTTTGTTTTGATTTTACTAATTATTAAAAAATTTTGGAATCGGATTTGATTTCAGAACTAATTCAGTAGCTATGTGTCCTAATTCCTAAACATATACTAGTGTTTTCCCCGTGCTTCGCACGGGCTCGTATATTCTTACATGAAATACATTTATAAATTTTATATTTCATTTTTTTAAAATGTGAAATTAAAAATAAATTGGAATATGTACTAAAGTCGCAATGCTACGCTGCATTATCAATATATAAAACATGTAAGTATATTTTATACACGCGTGCACACATGAAAAAATTTTTATGTACACATAAAATTGTAATATTCTTACGTAAAATATATCTATAAATTTTATATGTCATTTTAAAAAAAATATGAAATCTAAAATTAATCTGTGCTTCATAGGGGTGGACGCAGTCCATGATGGTTCGTGATACGAACAGAACCTATCACGAAAAATATATCAAAGAATTTTATATTTCATTTTTAGAAAAATGTGAAATTGAAAATAAATTTGTGCTTCACACGGACTCGTATATTCTTACGTAAAATATATATAAATTTTTTATTTCATTTTTAAAAAAATATGAAATTAAAAATAAATTTGAATATGTATTAAAGTCGCTAACTCGCTATGCTACTATCAATATATAAAACATGTAAGTATATTTTATACACGTGTGAACACATGAAAAAAATTCTTTTCACCTACTTAACGTGACTCTCTAGACTTCATATTTCAGAGATCTGTTAATATTTCTTGACTAAATGGTTGAACTCATTTCAACCTCATCTATATCTATTATGCTTTTATACACTTTAACTCACCCAAATATATATTTTTTATTGATAACTTTTAAATATAATTTTTTTGTTAGAGTATGAAAAATTACTTCTTTTACAAATTTCAAACTATTCTTGTATACGAAAGGTGTTAAAAATGACTTTTTTTAAATGATAGTGGATATTCTAGTTTTTGGAAGATAGATATGATATCTCTAATTTATCTTCTCCCTATTTTTCTTAGATTCAAATTATACGAAATACGTTTTTCATCTTTTAGTGTTATTAACTCGATTGTAATGTAATACGAAATATACGTTAATATTTTCATAATGACACAAGAGAGTCAATGTTGCTACCTCTATTGGGACTCATATCCTTACCCATCATTCTTAAAGAGTGACTTTTTACATTTTAAGTCAAGGAGGAATAGGGCGAGCCCATGGGAGATGGGCTACCCGACCGGACCGAGTACAAGTTTTATATGACCCAAATATTTTTAATGTTATATATATCTTTATATAGATAGATATTTTTTTGAGGACTATATGTATAGTTATTAAGAAGCCCCAATTGCCGGATTTGCCGCTTGCGTGAGTTGCGTCGATTCAGCTCCCTAATCTCTGCCTGTGTCTTCTATCATCCAGTGAAACTACCGACCGTCGAGCATCGACTTCTCTTAAAAGTTCATTTTCCAGTCTTCCAAGGAGGAAAGACTCCAGGGTTAAAGAGCTAAATAGGAGTAAAACATTGATAAAAATCCAAAATAGGAGTCAAAACATAAAATCCCCAAAATAGGAGTTGTTGACTTGCCACTGCCACTTCTCGGCCATACACTGGGAGCAATAGGTTAAATCTTTGCTTTGGAGATCTGATCGTCCCACACTGCATCAGGCTCTTTAGTTATAGAACTCATCTTATTTTTTTAATTTGGGGACTAAGGGTACAAAGTCCAAGTCGGATTGGAAAATTAGATCAAGGTTAAAAAAATTGAAAAATTCCAAACCGTTCTCTGAGCAAAAGATTAAGACCCGGTAAAATTTTGATCATTTTGGTTCAAAATTAGATAATTTCAGATCATGGAGAAAACAAAATTCATACACTGTCAATCGAAAATACAATGCTAAAAATGACAACATACAATGACAAACATGACATTGTAAAATGCAAAAATACAAAATTTTAGGTCATTCGAAAACAAAATATCGAAGATGTCAATGCACAGTGACAAATATGGCTCTGCAAAATGCCAAAAGTTCAATTGTACTCGGTGATACATGTGCATGCATGAAGTCATTAATTATGGAAAGAAGACAACTAAAATAAACAAACACACAATCTCTCTATTGTTAGCTCTATGCCAAAAAACAAAAAAAATCTACCCCACCAATAATAATAAAAAAGAATCCCGAAAAAAAACAAACATAAAGAATTTGGATTGAAGTACTAGCTAGCCATATGTTGGCATCCATGGATGCATGAGAGTTAGCACTGCACGTAAATCCACTAAAGAAGGTGTTCCATTTCTTCTCCAGGCAGCTAAACAATTGTAAAATAAAAATAGTTAATTACTCCTATTTAGAAGAATTTAAGTTTGAACTCCTACTTTGAGGATGCAACACATGTTTTACTCCTAAGGGGGTTTTCTTAAGACTCCAACGGGCGCAGGTAATTTTTTATATTCTTTACTCTTTAGTCTTATTATTATTATTGTTATTAATATTATTATTATTATTCTTATTATTATTGTTATTATTATTAGAGTAAACTAGTAAGGTCTTTATTCTTTATTCTTGGAGTATATATTCTTTCTTTTTTTCGAATTTGATGCAGTATCTTCTATTAGTTGAGAAAATCAAACACACTATATTTTCAAGATTTAGATTATAAGAGTGAGGTTTTAATATATTAAATCTATGGTTAATTGTTATTTGTTATTTTTTTTTACTTAATAATCTTTGTTATGAATGGATTTTTAATTTAATGTGTTCTTCATTCGATATGCAAGTATAATTATTTTAGATTTGTTGTTATACTATTTCAAATTTAGCTCTAATTTAAATTTTGTTTTGATTTTACTAATTATTAAAAAATTTTGGAATCGGATTTGATTTCAGAACTAATTCAGTAGCTATGTGTCCTAACTCCTAAACATATACTAGTGTTTTCCCCGTGCTTCGCACGGGCTCGTATATTCTTACATGAAATACATTTATAAATTTTATATTTCATTTTTTAAAAATGTGAAATTAAAAATAAATTGGAATATGTACTAAAGTCGCAATGCTACGCTGCATTATCAATATATAAAACATGTAAGTATATTTTATACACGCGTGCACACATGAAAAAAATTTTATGTACACATAAAATTGTAATATTCTTACGTAAAATATATCTATAAATTTTATATGTCATTTTAAAAAAAATATGAAATCTAAAATTAATCTGTGCTTCATAGGGGTGGACGCAGTCCATGATGGTTCGTGATACGAACAGAACCTATCACGAAAAATATATCAATGAATTTAATATTTCATTTTTAGAAAAATGTGAAATTGAAAATAAATTTGTGTTTCAGACGGACTCGTATATTCTTACGTAAACTATATATAAATTTTTTATTTAATTTTTAAAAAAATATGAAATTAAAAATAAATTTGAATATGTATTAAAGTCGCTAACTCGCTATGCTACTATCAATATATAAAACATGTAAGTATATTTTATACACGTGTGAACACATGAAAAAAATTCTTTTCACCTACTTAACGTGACTCTCTAGACTTCATATTTCAGAGATCTGTTAATATTTCTTGACTAAATGGTTGAACTCATTTCAACCTCATCTATATTTATTATGCTTTTATACACTTTAACTCACCCAAATATATATTTTTTATTGATAACTTTTAAATATAATTTTTTTGTTAGAGCATGAAAAATTACTTCTTTTACAAATTTCAAACTATTCCTGTACACGAATTTTACTAATTTTGAAATAGTCACAAAATAGAATTAATAGTTACACAGAAAATGAGTTATCAATATATCAAAAATATAATAAGATAAATATACAAACCTAAATAAATACATTTGTGAATTGAATAAAATCATAAACATGTTAACTTAAGTTAATAATTTTAAAATCAATTAGGCACTAAATTAATCCCTACTTGGTATTTTAAAATGATAACATACATATATTGAAATAAAAAACAATGATTCTAAACTTCCCTCAAATTAAATATACTCTGTATTTTCTATCACATATATCTTATAAATAATTTTAATAATATAAAAGAAAATTATATATAATAATATATATTTTAAAAACATTATATTTAGAAAGTAAAAAAGAAATAAAATTGTGTACACACTATTTTTTATTTTTGTGAACATGACCTTTCAATGCTTAAATGTCTTCACAATTATTTGCATTTAACATTAATAATTAAGAAGTAACCATGTGGTATCTAAGTGGACAAATGAAAAGATGACACCTTTAAAGCCTAGCTTATGTGGCGTGACACATAGCGCAACCACATTTAATCCGCTCCACTTTTTATATATACATATGATTCAATAATCAAAAGTGAAAAAGAGAGTACGATGTGAAAAAATGACAAAGTCTTAAGCAGGAACACTATATAAGTTTACATATCCCACCTCCCCCGCGTAAATCCCTAACCTCGACTTAACCCAACACCACCCCCTCTCCCCTACCTTTTTAATTTCATCTCTAATTTTTTGTTGACTTTAAGGTCAAATTAAGGGAAGAAATTGAAGAGGTTGTAGGGATAGGTTGAGCTGACTTGGGTGAGGGATTTACTAGTGGAACTAGAAATTATCAATTTTACAAACGGAGCACGATAAATGCCCCAAAACTCTAGTGACATCGTAGTGTCAACCGCGGCCGATGTCAACGGGAACCCTCCGTAATTGAAAACATGAAGAATTTACTTATTTTATAACATTTCCTTGAATGCTCATTTTTTAATTAACAATGTGTACTTCATGAAAAGAGTGCAACCTTAAAACGTATTTCAAATCAATGTATTGTCTCATTAAAAACACTTTAAAGATAAACTTAGTTGGATAAAAACTTCACTAGGAAAAAAAAGTAAAGTTCATAAAATTCTCTCCATAGTTTAGCATGACTCACGGAAACCGTGTATGCCAATCTTGTATACGAGTTTTTTAATTTTTTGGGAGGAACAATCTTGTAAATGAATAATTTTCACTGAAATTCTCAATCTTTCCTTCTTTTTTAAGATCATGAGTTAAAAAAATCAGTGCTATGAGCTTTGATCTATCTTTTTTGACGAATTGAAAAAGGTAGAATTTATCTAAATAGTACTAAAATATACTAATTTTGATTTCCCAACGTAGTAGCATTGGTTATTATTTACTGGTCATTGTTCAAGTAAATGTCCACCAGCACTGGACATTATTCAAAGTAAATGTCCACAATTACTGAACATTATTCTACACACTAGATATTATTCAAATACTATTTAAAGAATAAAAATATTTAAATATCACATTAAAAAATAACATATGTTTTAGTACTATATAGTGCAAATTTAATTTGAGAGAACTCTAAACATAAAGTATAACCATATCCAAAACTAGAGAAAACTCTAAACATAAAGTAGAACCATATCCAAAACTACACCTCAACACCAAAACCTATTCTATACTAAAACATCGTATTCGTCTGCAATTGGCCATTTCCAACCAAAAATAAAACAGGGGACCTTAAGCAAGATCAGAGTCTAACAGAAAATTAAGCAAAACCGTAGTGGGGAGTTAGAGATTAACCAACGAGAAACCCACCGCGCTCTGCCCCGCCGCAGTGACACCGCCGACACCCGCATCCCACCCTCCTGTCGCGTCCGCTGTCTCCAAACCAGTCGATCGGTAAATTCGGGATTCAGGTTTCACATTTATTCTCTTCATATTTCAGATTTCAGTGTTTAATTGTTGATATGATGTGGAAATTTGAATGTTTGATTAGTTTTTTTTTCTATACTCTAAAGAACAAAAAAAACACTGTTTTACATACCAGAAACCTGCCTACAACTCAACCTATCTCGAACCAAATGCATTCGCTTAAGTTTAGAATTTACAGAATTTTTTAGTATCCTTCTTGTTGCAGATTAAGTTCTCCAGGTCAAGCCCTCATTTTTTCTTTGGTTTATGAACCTACTTGCAGTTTACAACAGGAAGTTTTGTATACTCAGGGGGATAGCCCACAACAAATTCCTACATATACTCTAACACTATGTTTGGTTCAAAGGAATTTGAAAGGGGAAAGAAAAGAAAATGAAGTGGAAAGCACTTTTTCTTGTTTGGTTAGAGAGAAAAAAAAGGAAAAGTGGAAGGAAAAAAAGAGAAGGCAAAATGTAATAAGTGAAGGGAAAACCAAATTTCTCCCATTTTGGTGAGGAAATTGAGAGATAGTTGTTTTCTTTTCTTTTCCTTCCAAATTCCTTGAACCAAACATAGTGTAAATTTTCTTCATCACTTTATTAGGGATGATGAAAAGCCTGCACCCAAGGGAAATAACACCAAACAGAACATAGTTTATAAGTTTACATCTACTAGCATAGGATAGATGTCTTGTAGTCCCGACTGTATGTAATCTTAGATGTAAGCTTATTCACCAGACTTTCAGGCTTTGCTCAATGTTGTATTGGGCTGAAATTTCTGAATTGATGAATGATGATCTTCAATGGTCAATGTGCAAAGATTTAGTTATATTTCACTACGATTAATTTGACAAGAGACACATTTGGCAACTCATATTGGTATATGATGGCTATTGGACTTGTAGTTTTTACTGTTGGGGGAGCTTCAAACTTGCATTTGCTCTGAAAATATATATATGCCATTATGCCGATACTCTTAGCTGTATTTTTGAAAAAATAAACATGTAAATCACAAACATATCTGTTTTCAGTATGTATAAAACATATAAGTAGCAGTGATTTTAAAAATATGATCCATATTATTTGCAAATGTATGAATGCCATATTAAACAGTATCCAACTAAGCTAAAAAAGCTCAGAATTCAGTCGTAGCTGCTACAGCTAAATAGCCTTGAATCACTCATGGTGTTGGCACAGATGAAGTCGATGGAGCAATTGTTCTTCTACTGACCGCAAATAACTCCCTGTGATCATATTGCATTCATTTCGCTTTCAAGTTTACATATCTGAAAGACTCTTGTCTATGTATTCTAGTTAACTAAGGCTTCGCTGATTTTTACAAGAAATTTTGCTATTAAAATTCAAATGGCTGAGGTAAACCATCCTGAAGAATATCGTGTAGCACCAAATTTCCAAATCAGGGCATTCTTTGACTCAGCTCCTCCAATTCTTGATGCTGCCGATACCAAGGCAAAGTTGAATGAATTTATTCACAGGAATTATTTAGCTGCAGGTGAGCTTACTTCTAGAAGTTTTGGGGTTTAATTGGAAGCCATTATAACTAGGGTTCTGATCTTTGTGTTTAGGAAATGATGACAAAGCAAGCAGGATAGTGTGTGTTACTTCTGGTGGTACTAGTGTACCATTAGAGAGGAGGTGTGTTCGATATATTGATAATTTCAGCTCAGGCCACAGAGGAGCTGCTTCCACTGAGTATATTGCATTTCCCATATTCATTTCATTTCACTAGAAACTCTTGATAAAGTTACTAATACTCCGTATTTTTTACACATAAAATGAGGCTGCAGATACTTTTTGAAGTCTGGTTATTCTGTCATATTTCTCTACCGAAGGTGTGTGTGTTACTGCTACAAGTCATTATTTATCCACCCTATTATGATTTTGTCCATAACCTATCAACCTCATTAGTATTTGCTCACTAAATACTGGATACTCGTCACTATGCAGGGGAACCTGCCAGCCATTCTGTAGAGATCTTCCAGATAATGCATTGATTGAGTGCTTAAAATATAATGATGCATCTAGCCTTCAAGGTTTGCAAAGTCTAGAAGAATTTATCCCATAACTAATCTACATCAGTAGATATAGGCATATAGCACTAACAGACTCAGGTTTTTCACAATTTCAAGGATATTGATAGTTTGATCTTTATTTACTCCCTCCATCATGATTTAGTTGTCCACTTATCCTCTTTGGAGCATCGAGATTTGGCTCTCTACTTTCCATATTTAGTAAACAAGTTATTCAAAATTCTCAAAAGTCAAAATTACCCTTTGCGAGAAACAATATCGACTGTATATTTCAAAATAAATAATATCAGCTCTTGTTCTGTTTTCCAGTGGATCATAAATGTGCTGAGGTGGTGAGAAGAGCAATTACTGAACATCAGGCGGTAAGGAAACATGTGGTAGCTATAGCTCCTTCTGCTTTAAACTCGGAATTATCTTGTTTCAATGCAGACAAATTCATTGTTGCAGGCTGTGGCTGGGGGCTCTCTGATCAAACTCCCGTTCACAACAATCTTTGAATATCTGCAGGTAGGAATTAGAATTATAGAGATTAAATCTGTGTTAATAGATGACTTTCAAGAACTCTGTGTAATAATATAAGAAAGCTAACTTTAGTCATTGCATATTCAATATCTGAAATTTATACAATACTATTTGTGTTAAGAGCAGATGTTGAAGCTGATTGCTGAGTTGCTCAGAAGCATTGGTCCAAGTGCTATGTTTTATCTTGCTGCTGCCGTTTCTGACTTTTATGTTCCTTGGGAAAGCATGGTACTTGTTACTCCATATTCTTTTAAAATGACTGTTGAGGAATCATTTTGGCTTCATTTCTTGTTTTGGCTGATTCTGTTCTCAGGCTGTTCATTCTGGAGAATTATGTAGTTGATTAATTCTTAATATCAGAAATCAGAATCAGCTACTGATTCTTTACAGTGTCAAACACATGCAACAATTGACTAATTTTGGTATGAGAATGTGCAGATTCAACTTTTCAGAATTGAAGACAGGGCAAATGTCTCTTTAGCTTACAGTTTACACCCATCTGGTCCCATTATACATGTTTGGAAAAGTCTACATGTATTCCCTTTGAAAGTCATTTGACTGAATTCCAATAATGAGAGGGCTTTCCTTTTTTTTCGTTTGGTAAAGATGACATATGTCCTTTACTCTACTTCCGTTAAACACCAGCTCAAAATCAACTATGTTTTCCTATTAAACCAACTATGTTCTTAAGTGCAATAGTTTTGTAGTATCTGTGGGGCTAGATGGATTTGCATTGTGTTTTGTGTTGCTTTCCACCTTAGTTTAAATTACTCATTCATAGATAATGCATAAAACCTTAGTTGCATTCAAAAACTAATACAACAAGAAAACCCAGTATAAGCCCAACTTTGTTGGTGTGTGGGGTCAAATGCACGCAACATTATCCTTGCAAATAAACAAAGACGCTAGTTCCATTAGGCCCTTGATGCATTTAACATCCAAAACTTCATAGATAGTCAGAAGCTAGAGAACCTTAATGTGCTTTTTTTTATTTTGACATCGCCTGCCTAAAGGATAAAATATTATAGAAAATGACTCTTACACATTAAGGTCATTCCTTTTTTTCTTTTGCTGCTATCTTACAGACTGTTCACAAGATCCAGTCTGGAGCAGGTCCATTGGACATGCAGCTCGCTCAAGTGCCGAAGATGCTTTCTGTGCTCAGAAGTGAGTGGGCGCCTATGGCTTTTTGCATTTCATTTAAGGCAAGTTTTTAAATGAATTCCATTCTGTTAACTCTCATTAAATTTTTTGAGTTTTGATTTTTTCAATAAGATGAACTTTTGAAATGGTACTTGTTAAAAAAAGTACTTGGATACATGAAAGATAAAAATTACCGTAGTAGTTTAAATTTACCTAAAAAATGCATAATTTGGATATATGAAAAGAAAAAAAAAACTAATCTGATGAACTTTCATATTTTGGATTGAAATAGTCAATATTAGTACTCTTATTTAACTTCATATTTAGATGTTTAGAACACTAAACTAACAGTAGGAATTACATCAATCAAGACCAGTTAATTCCAACTGCCTCAGCTCATGGACAACTGGGGGAATATCAAATGTATGTCCAACCATTTAAAGTTTGTTCTTAACTAGATTGCCTTCCACAATTAAATACTCGTATCATTTTGTTTGGGGAAAGAATATTCCACAGTTGAGTCCTTTGCACTGCATATCATAAGTAGAGTTGACCTTTGTAAATGGCATCCAGAAGATAGTATCCTCAGTAGTCAGTACAACCTATTGTCCAGTCTTTTTGGGTAAATACTTTTGTATAGTTTGTGTGTACTGTAAGTTGATCAAAGATTCCTCAAATTTAACTGAAATGGGAAGCTGTAATATTAGAAAATCCCTTTCTAGAAAATTTTAGGGTACTTGAGAATTATACTTCTTTGATCTCGAAGTTGCTTTCTAATGCCTTTTTAACTAAGACATGTTAGACAAATAATTAAAAGTTTTGGTTAATCTATGACCCCAATGCATTGTTTTCAAAACTGTGTGATTTTGGTCAAACTGGGGGGTTAGTAAAGGGAGTGTGTTATGTAACATAAACTATAAAAAAAGCCCCAGTGACCCGCCTTTTCATTTCTTTTGACCTTCTGTCTTTGCTTAATTGACAGCTAGAAACTGATAAAGATATCCTATTGGAGAAGGCTGATATGGCTCTTAGGAAGTATGGAATGCATATGGTTGTAGCTAATGAGCTCTTAACCCGAAAAGAAGAAGTCACGGTTGTGGCACCAAATGAGAAGATTATTGTTAAGAGGGACGAATCCCAAGTTGGGGCTGATGTAGAAAACCCTCTGATCAACCTCATTGTGGAAAGGCATTCAGAGTATATATGCAGATTGAACCAATTTGCCTGCAAGTAAACATTCTGGGCTACATCTCTTTTTTTGACAGGTGCTTTTCTTCATCAACCGATCTTGACAAAAAACGTACCAACATTTCCTTTTTGTTACCACTTTTATTTATTTCTAAACAAACTGCAGAAATGACATAAATAAAACTAATGGTAAATTAAAATAACTGATGAACTAGACGATAAACTTAACATTTGTTACAAAGTAGTGGAGTTTAATATGGATGATGTGATTCTTTTATGGATAATGTATGTTCTTTATATGTGTAATATATTGGCTTGCATGAAACACAATTTAGCAAGGGAAGTGTCTAAGGCTGCATTTCGTTCGCATGATCTGATCTGATTGCTGTTATAATTAAAGTTGTTTCTGACTTGGTGTGGTTTGGTCTCATCTAATCTGATAATAATAAGAATAAGTAATAAGTAGAAAAAATAAGTTGAACGAAACGCTTCCTAGGCAGCTGAAATTTTTGACAAACACATTTTTGTTGGACAAGTAGAATTACCCGTGTTTTGCAGAACAGATATAACCAATTTTGAAATTTCTACATTGACCAATCATGATTTCTTTGTGTGACAAAGGAATTAAGGGCTCCGGTCCCAGTTTCAGTACTGAACCAAAACCAGTACTAAAAACAAACCCGGAGCCATAAAAGCATAATGGCAAACCGATATAGAATCGGCAATGGGATTGTGGGAGGACGTGATTATGGTTCTGGTTCCCTTTCTCACGGTAATTTATCAGGGAGTATCATTATTATATTTGTCCATAGTTTTCTTCTCATACTTTCTGTTTTAGAGCATTCTAAAGTTTTTTTTCAATTTTGATTTATGTTATTTTTTTCTGCACTACATAAATTCCGCACAAACACTGTTCTCAATTGAAGTGGGTGGTAACATCTTAGGTTATTCATTCTGTACTCGCTCAATATGAAATGATCATCTTACTTTAGTTACCTCAGAATTTTATCCATACTTTTTTTCTTCTTTCTATTGTGTTCAAACACCGACAACCTACTATAGAACACCCAAATATAGTCTTGGATAGACTTGGCAAAACATACCCGAATTCGATAACCCAAACCGGATAATCCGAAACCAAACTTGAAATCGATTAAAGCCGGAACCTATTAAACTTGAAATCCATTAGATCATAAACCGATTAGACCCAAAAATGATTAGACCCAATATTGATCGAATTCAAAACAAATTAAACTCAAATCCAGTCAAACCAAAAATCTCATGGGTTGATGTCTTTTTAAAAAAAACATATTTAAATTATAGGTACAACTAGTTTCATATACAAATCTTTTATTCGGTATTTTATTACCTAAATAAAGGTGGTTGTCTATTTTTATATGGAATATATGTCATTTATAGTGACATCGTAACACACATTGATGAATATACTAATTTATTATTGTTAACACGTGTATATATACCTCCCTATACACACAGGGGGAAGGCTCCACACAAGGAAAAATTGAGAACTCTAATACCAATGGATCTCATCTGAAACTGGTATAAATCCGAACCGATAAAACTCGAACGGGTATAAACCCGAGCCGATATAAACCCAAATCGATATAAATCCCAACCAAAATAAACTCGAATAAAAACCAAACCGAAACCCGAAAAAATCAAATCGAATTCAACCCGACACTGAACTGAACCGACCTGAACCACCCCGAATGAATTATAACATATATCCAAAAGAGGCTTGAATAAAAAAGTTTCGAACCCGAACTGAACTAATTGACCCCATTACCAGATCTAGTCTTGGACATTTTGCGAGAGTAATGGGTATTGTTTTTCATTATTATTATTATTATTATTATTATTATTATTATTACAATTATTTTGTATCAACAGTACTTAAGAAATATGGTTAACTTATGATTATAATATCAAATTTAAAATCTACTATTGCAACTCCTAAAAATTAAGCCATTCAGGTGTGAGTATAGTCTCACTGTTAAATATGACAGATATATTACTCATAGTATTTAAAATATTTATTTCCTTGTTTATCTAGATTTTACCACCTCTCGTGTTTGTATAAATACTCCGACCTATGATGAATAAAGTACTCAGTTTACCACACCCATAATTTAAACGCCGGTTGCAATTATTCGAAATTAATACTCCGTAGATTTTATAATGGAGAATAATGTTAAGGGCACGTCATTAAATTGTACACCAAAAAGGCAAACATAGACACTGTCGACGTTTGTCTTTGGTGTATAAATCTTGGGCAAGTTCAATAATTTTCTTTTTGTAAATGCTTCCTCCGTCACCGCACCATCAAGCTTTTGTCGTCACGAAATATTTATTAAAGAAATAAAATTTTACAATAGTTTTACCCCCCATAACATTTGATTAGTATGTCAGATTTCAAAGATTCAGGTGATGTTTGCAATTTCATATAAATATCTCAAGTATTACAAGTTTATGGTAATAATTTCAAATTTGTTGAATAATTGAAGTTTATGGTAATAATTTCAAACATGCCGCTCTCATCCACAACCCATTTGTCTTTCTACACATTGGTGGTGCGTGAACATATGCCAACATGCTAAACCAAGTTACGTTCTCCATCAGAAGTGATTTCCAGACTTAGTTGCTTGCTTGTTTAAAAAAAATACCTAGATGCTTGCCCACGTAAAATTACAGTTATTCTCTCGGTATGACTCCAGCAAGGTTGTGCATGGAAAATATTTATGATTAAGATCACGTCTTGCCCATGAGTGAGGGTTACACAACAATCACCCAGATTGTTTTACAAGCATTACAAAATTAAAAATGTCATGTTATATTAATACAGCGGGAAATAAAAATAATCCGAACTTATAACGCGTTCAGATTTTATAATGAGAAAAAAAAATAAAAAAATACAAGAAGTCGTCGGTGATCAGAAAAACAAACGGAAGGAAAGCGGAGTCGTTGGAGCTTTCCTTAAGGTAGTATCGCCCGCCTCCCGCACTGGCAACAACATGGTCAATCTCCTCCCAGGAAAAAACCGCTACGTGCAAGGTCTAGGGTAGTAGAACCGTGCACCGACAAACACGAATGACGAAGAAATATTTGCCGGAAAAATTGATCGTAACGAGAGAGTGTTGGAGTATATTCAAATTCTCGTGTGTTCATCTCTGCAGCATAAGTCATCCTTATATAGGAGTGGGACGGGCTGGACGGACGGATATTACGAGGATTCAAATGACTCTTCATAAATGCATGCATGCTAATTACTTCGTCACTTCGATATTAATGAAGCAAACATGTGTTTGATTCGGTCTCATAAAATGATAAGGGTTCGGCCCAAGCCCTCGCCACGTCATGACGTGTCGCGCGCACTCACACGCCAACACGCGTTCCTGCGCGCGTGTGTGTCTTGCCGAGCCGGACGGACGGCGGCGACAGTGGTGCGTGAGGGATCCCTTGGTTCTCTCTCCATAAATTGCTTTTACAATGTTATTAAAGACTAGCATATAAATGGAGGAAGTTGAAGGGTTTCAAATCCGATGTGGGATACGTGGGTTTTCCCCTTCCAAATGAACGACTTTGTGAATTAATTTCTCATTCACCCGAGCACCAATTCTGGCGCATAATATACCGAAATACTTGTCTCACTTAGAATAATATTTTTCCGTAATTATTTTGGAAAAATAATTTTGTGGACCCCACCGAATTTACGTCTAAAGTTGTCGCGTTAAGAGCAGAAATTCTAACAGTCCACCACATGAATGAAAATTAACTCATGTGCTTGGAAAATAATTCTAAAGGTGAAAAATGCAAAAGTGGGTAGATTTTGTGCCTTTGAACCTATTCCTTGTAAAGTATACCTTCTTTACTGGTTCTTCAGTAGAACCTGATGTCTTTGAACTATACTGCCGTTTGTGTACACGATGATATACAATACACAGTTTTCAACCAACCATCATTCCGTTCTCATGGGTGTGCCCGTTATGGTCGTGGAACACGCATCTGGTTCTGCGAGAGTGCCAGACGGGATTAGCCCGAAATCCTTCTGTTGAAGCGACCACACTTCACTCTCATATATGTGATTTTTCTAAGAGTATCCTGATTACTCCACTTGGACCCATTGTCCATGAATAGTTCAAGAATCATTAAAGCATCATGCTAACCTCATCATTTTCGGGAGTCACTATATCTCAATAGGAACAGAGGGGTGTTAAGTCGGTGATCCGGCTCGCCCCCATAGTGACCATGCTTCGTCCCACAAGTAGGTTGTCCCATTGAACCTAGGTACCACGCAGGTTTGGTTTTCCTTCATGAGACGTTCCCAGCACAAGGTAGGGCTTTCAAACCCATTCCTACCACTAACTTCTCATGTTGTTCATGTGTTAATCCTTTGGTTAGTGGATCTGCTAAATTATCCTTTGACCTATCCTAACATAGTCAATTGATATAATACCCGTATTGAGAAGTTATCTAATGGTTTTGTGTCTACGAAGAATGTGCCTTGACTTACCATTGTACATATTGCTCCGAGCTCATCCTATTGCCGATTGGCAATCAGAAAAAACACAAATAGGAGGAACCGGTTTTTCCTAATTTGAAATATCCTCGAGAAACTTCTTAAGCCATTCGGCATGTTCCGCGCACTTATCTAGTGCTATAAACTCAGACTCCATGGTGGATCTCGCTATTAACGTTAGTTTTGAGGATTTTCAAGATACAGCTTTACCGGCTAACATAAAGATAATCCGCTTCTGTATTTTGAATCCTTATTATCCGCAATCTAATTGGCATCAGTGTACCCTTCTAGCACGGGTGGATACCTGCCATAATATAGGCTATAATCTCTAGTATACCGAAGGTATCTCATCATTAGGACTATAGCCTTCCAGTGTTCAGTGCTTGGATTACTATTTTACCTATTTAGTTTTCTAATGGCGCAAGAGAACACACTACAAGAATTTGTTTCGCCTGCAACGGAAATTTACTACAGACTCATTTCCGTAGCAGATCTGTAATGAATCAGCGACGGATTTGAAATCTTTGAAAAAAAGTAATCTACGATGGACTCTATTTTTCCGTCACAAATTAGCGACGAATTATTTGTGCCTGTCGCAAATTTAAGTTGGTCAATTTTTGACGTGATAATCTGCAACGGAGGTATATATCTGTCGCCGATCCGTCGTAGCTTCTGAAGTGATAATCGATATTGAAATTTTCCCAGCCATTCGTCTTTCACTTCAACCCTATCCCATCTCTCTCCCGGTCAGCCGTCCTCCACTCCTCCGCCAGCCACGCCAGCCCTCCTGCCACGCCGTCCCGCCCAGCTCCGCCAGCCACGCCGTCTTCTCCAGCCGCGCCGTCATCTCCAGCCGCTCCACCTGCGCCGCCCACCAGACGTCGCCACCCGTCGTCCACGCCGGCCAGCCGTTTCTCTTCCCCGCCGGACATCCTCTGCATCTTTGCCGTAGGTATTTGTGTTTAATTTAATTTTTGGTGAAATTGAATTTCTTTGTGTGAAATTGAGTGCATTTTGGTGAAATTTACTTAAATTGTGTGTATATGAGATGAAATTGACATGAAATTGGGTAAAAATTGCATTAATTTTTGGTTAAAATTTTAATTAAAATTGTGTTAGTAAATTTGACATTTATTGTGAATTTAGGTAAACTTTAGTTGAATTTTGTGAAATTTAGTGTATAATATGTTCATATCTATAGTTAAATTAGTGTTGTTTGTGGTTTAATCAAATTGTCGTTTGTTAGTCGTCTTTATTGTAGGTATGGTTTGTTGGTATAAATGTCATTGATATTCTTGGCTAAATGATTGTTGTTTGTTGCCTTTCAATTACCAGGCGTTTCTAGAATGAGTCCATTTGAAAATCGTGAGTTGATGTATAAGAAATATGAGAGAGAAGGTGTTGTTAGTCAAGAATGGGTGGACAACGTGGTTGAGTTTGTAGAGTACTGTGAGTCAAGTCCCAATGTAGATAGGTTGGATAACAAGAAAATGCGATGTCCTTGCAAGAAATGTAAGAACATCAAGTTTTGCTCATCAAAGATTATGCTGGAGCACATTTTGCGGTTTGGATTCACACCCAATTACTTTGATTGGGTATGTCACGGGGAGAATCATGGTGACTACGTACCTCCACAACAATGTAAAGTCCCTCGTCAAGCTGATGCCTCAGATGTATCACATGTCCCGGGTAGAGAACAGTTTGTACACATGATTTATGATGCAGTCGGCCCGACTAGGATAAACTCTGTTCTTGAAGAAGAGCCGAATTCGACAGACAAACACTTCTTCGAAATGTTGAAAGCTGCTGATACAGATCTTTGGCCGGGGAGTTCTAAGATGTCTAAGTTGTCTGCAGTTGCACGCTTGTTGAATATTAAGTTAGAGCATAATCTATCTGAGCGTTGTTACGACACCATATGTCAATACATCAAAGACATTCTTCCGGAGGACAACTCAATGGTGAATGACTTTTATGAAACTAAAAAGATGATTGAAGGTTTGGGTCTTCCGGTCCAAAAGATTCATTGTTGTGTTCTTGGATGCATGTTATATTGGAAAGGCGATGAAAGTCTTACCGAGTGCAAGGTGTGTCATAAGCCACGCTATAAAGACGAGACGTCTAAGATTCCGCACAGACAGATGTTCTACTTTTCGCTTACACCCAGGTTGAAACGCTTGTATATGTCCACACGTACGGCGGGGGCAATGAGGTGGCATGCCACACATCGACACACAAACCAAGACAAAATGTGTCACCCTTGTGATTCTGATGCATGGAAAAGATTTGATGTAAACCATCCTTCTTTTGCTTCAGAAATGCGCAACGTGCGCCTAGGACTATGCACGGACGGGTTCCAACCCTTTGGCCAGTGACGGTCCCAATATTCATGTTGGCCTGTAATGATTACTCCTTATAATCTTCCCCCTGACATGTGCATGAAAGAAGAACATATTTTGTTGTCCTTAATTGTTCCTGGGGGTCTAATCCGAAGCAAAAGATTGACGTCTACTTGCAGCCATTGATTGAAGAGCTAAAGACCCTTTGGAGTGAAGGTGTTGAGACCTATGATGTGTCACTCAAGCAAAACTTCAAAATGAGTGCTGCCCTCATGTGGACAATTGGTGATCTCCCTGCATACGCAATGATGTCTGGGTGGAGCACGGCCGGGAAGTTAGCGTGCCCCATTTGTATGGATCAAGTTGAATCATTTCGACTACCCAATGGAGGAAAGTAGTCGTGGTTTGACACTCATTGACGTTTTCTTCCCCTGGATCATTCTTATAGAAAAAATAAGAAGAAGTTCATCAAGAATACAGTTGAGACGAGAGCGCCACCCATTAGAAAAAATGGTCAAGAGACACTACGTGAAATTGTAGGTTTGGGCATGCGGAGGATCGTGGACGAAAATGGTGATGCCATTAACTCAGAGATTGTGAAGGACACTTCTTGCGGATGGAGGAAGAAGAGTATTTTTTGGGATTTGCCTTATTGGGAGACAAATATGATTCGTCATAATCTCGATGTTATGCATATTGAAAAGAATGTCTTTGAAAATGTTTTCAATACTGTAATGGATGTACAGGGCAAGACAAAAGACAATGCAAAGGCAAGAGAAGATATGAAATTGTTTTGCTCAAGAAAAGAGTTGGAGCGTGATCCTCAAACCGGAAAGTACCCTAAGGCTAACTACACATTGGATAAGACGCAGCGTAAAGCATTTCTGGATTGGGTGAAAACGTTAAAATTTCCAGATGGCTATGTTTCAAACTTGGGAAGATGTGTGGACCCAACAAAGCTAATGATGTTTGGGATGAAAAGCCACGAGTGTCATGTCTTCATGCAAAGGTTGTTGCCCATTGGATTCCGAGCATTACTTCCAAAGGTTGTTTGGGAAGTGATTACAGAGTTGAGTAACTATTTCAAGAGGTTAACATCCAAAACTCTTTCTGTGGAGGATCTTAAAATGTTAGAAGCAGATATCCTAGTCATTTTGTGCAAGCTAGAAGCAATTTTTCCTCCTGGGTTTTTTAATAGTATGGAACATCTCCCCATTCATTTACCCTATGAGGCACGAGTTGCTGGGCCTGTTCAATACCGGTGGATGTATCCGTTTGAGAGGTAATTTCAAAAATATTTAATTTTTAGTTGCAAAGTTTATTGGGCATATGTTTCTAAACCTTTGATAAGGTTTTAGGTACCTCAATCGCCTTAAAAGAATGGTGAAAAATAAGGCTCGCGTAGAAGGTTCCATAGCCAATGCGTATTTAGTCCGAGAGGCATCCTACTTCTGTTCTCATTACTTTGAAGAACACGTTTACACGCGAGCAAGAAATGTGCCTCGTAATGACCCTGAATCACGAGAAGGTGTTGATGTTTCAAATCAAGAGATTTTTGACATATTTCAATCACCAGGATGGTTACAAGGGAAAATGCGTAAAAGGCAACTTACTCCGAAGGAGCTAAAAGCTGCATACCATTACGTACTCTTTAATTGTCCGGAGATTGATCCTTATATTACGTAAGTACTTACATTTGCTTGGCATCAAATACAAATATTGTTTTGTAATACACCTGTAGAGATTTCACAAGTGTATGTAAGGTTGTGCGCAAATGAGATTAAAGAGTCTACATCACAGATTAGTGAAGAATCCCTGTTGAAACGTGTAGAGGAGACGTTTGCAAATTGGTTCCAGAAACACGTAAAGTTATTATTTTTATTTTTTTGTATAATATATGTGAGGTATTACATATGTGGGTGACTATTTTCACATCATCTTCAGGTAGAGAATGATAGGTCTGTCCCAGAAATAATCACTGATGTGGCCAAGGGTCCCTTATCATTTGCCAAGTCATACCCAATATACTTTGTAAACGGCTACTGCTTCCACACAGTAAAACATGGTTCAAAGCGTGCAGTGTACAACAGTGGGGTATCTATTACGGGCGAATATGGAGAGTACTTTGGGGTATTAGAGGAGATACTTGAAATTGAGTATCCAGCTTTGCCACTTAAACATTGTGTTTTGTTTAAATGTCGATGGTTTGATCCGAGGTTGAATCGGGGGACACGAATATACAAGAAGTATGGTTTACTTGAGGTGCTTAAGAAGGGAGAGTTTAACCGATATGAGCCTTTTATTTTTGGGTCACAAGCAAACCAGGTTGTGTATGTGGAATACCCTTGCACGCAAAAGACTAAGAGTGATTGGATTGCAGTGTGTCATGTTCACCCTAGAGGTAATTGGATTGAATCAGGAAATACACTAGAATCAGTAGACAAGGTGCAACAGGAACCTTTTCAAGCAAATGGGATGACCGAGAGAACCACAATCATGGAAGTGACACAAGAAGATGAACACATTAATCTATCACGAGAGGGAGATGCGAATTTCGCTGACGATGATAGTAACGCAGAAGATGAGGGTGAAGAACCAATTTTAAGCTCTGATGACTCAATAGAAGAAGAACAAGACTCAACAGAGAGCGAGTGAAATTAGAATGACGAGTAAATGTGTTTCCAAATGTTTCTTACACTATTAATGATTGATATATGTTTTGCTATGTGAACTTTATTTTGTTTAATGAGCTAAGTATACATTATTTTTATTTTTGTATAGATGGGCGACAATGAGAACCCCCCTCCCCCCACGTCGACTGATTCTGAGGTGTTGGCACGTTTGAGGAGGTCCGTCATTGGTAGATGGAGACCCCCTTCTCTTCAGGGTTCGAGCACAGCCACTACATCCACAGGCACTCCCTCTATTACCTCGAGTCCATTCACTGACACGCAGGTGTCCCCCTCCACCCCACGTACTACGCCATCTGGCCCTTGTACGTCAGGTATGGAACTCTCCTCTTAGAGATTAATGTAGTAGAAGTTTCAACGGATAATCAATTAAAGTGATGTTTCATTTATCACGAAACTGAAACTTAATGTCTAAGCTTGTTCATAGTTGTTTTTAATGCATGTATTATTGTGTTATTGTGTTAATAGCATCTAGGGTTGGGGAGAGTATTGAGGATCAGGAGGATGGAGTTGGCGATGACCATGACTTCGAGGACTGCTTTGGCGAGGGACGCAGTGGCGGGGCGCGTGATGGTGAGGACGGGGTCCATGATAATGTGGACCAACAGGGTGGATATCACGAGGGTCCCGGTCATCATGGTCAGTTCGTGTATGTCAATTCCGATGACGAGGAAGTAATATACTACATTTGAAGATCATGGTTACATGTTTGTAGGGTTACATGTTTGAAGTAAGTAATCTACGTGTATGGTTACATGTTTTAAGTAAGTAATCTAACGATTTTATGCTAACCACTTATACATGTTTGTAGGGTTACAATCACTAGAGCTGGTGCTGCGCTCATCACACCAGCATTCTACGAGAGGACGGACGCGACTGGCTTTTCGTGGGGCAAAGTCTCAAAGACGACGAAGGAGTTCTACTTTCGAGAGTTTAAGGTTTTTTGAAAAAATTACTCTTTAACTTGTTTCGATCACAAGAAAATTAATATATATATATATATATATATATATATATATATATATATATATACACACACACACATATATATATATCTGTGTGTGTGTGTGTGTGAGAATACAATCTAAGTTATTGACTATTCTATGATGTCAACGTAGAAAAATGCTTGAGTGGATCCGTCCATTGATGAGGGCATGCTGAGGAAAGCTTTTCTCAAGAAAGCTGCTGAACGGTACGCGAGTTATACATACAATCAAAGGAACCCAACTCGATTGAAAAAGAAGAAGATGGACCCTCGGCCACTTGAGCAGTTGAAGAAGGTAAATTATAAGTTTGGAGCATATGTTTGGAGCATATGTGTATAAATCGCTATATACAAGTAATGTTTATGAAATATACAACTATAGGTTTGGGAAGAGGATCCAGAGTTTTTGGAGTTGAGTAAGACAAAGAAGAAGAATAGAAGAAAGGGAAAAGAGGATGGTCCTTCTTGGAACACGGGTTTACGCCTATGTCGTACTAAGCCGTGTTTGTTTTATGACAGGTTTTGATAATGCCAAACCGCCGTGACAATAACAAGGTTAAACTGAGCAAAACCAAGGCGAAGGAACATGGCATGATGAACTGAGAACCAAGAACCAAGAATCAAGAAAGAAGACTTAGAATCGTATTGAGTCGGTTTTAATGTGATCAAGACCGGCACAAACATTCAAAACATGGCTCTCTAGGCTCATTTCATCAAAATATTTTTTGAATATTCAAAATGATTTTCTTAAGTCTTAAACCTGCCTGAAAACACTCGGAGTTCGCCCAAACCAAAAACCAAGCCATCCGGCGTTCGGTTTTCAGAAATCGGCGTTCGGCTCTCGGTTTTCGGCATTGGTTTTTGGCGTCCCAACCAACCAAATGGTTTTCAACTTTTTATGACTGGTTTTTACTTCTGGGCATATTTAAATAGTTCTCCAACAAAAACGCTTCAAAAACCACCTTTCGTTTTTGGTCGTTTAGTGAAAACCATGTGAAACGGCGTAAACTTGGCTAGCCGTGGTTTTCAACTAAATGACGTGGTTTTCAAAATGTTTTACTTGATTTCTTAGCAAAATGCATTAAACAAACATTTTCAATACTTGGTTTTTATTTTGGAGAACTTACATTTTTGACATCGGCTAACGGCGTGACTAAACCAACCATGGGTCTGGCTAAACCAGCCCAACA